ACCCATGAGCGGTGGGTGGAGGCCCTAAATTGCAACATGGGGGGACACCTATTGTCCTCCCCCCAGCCCCCACCACTGAGCAGGGGGTGAGGGCCCTAAATTAGAATAAGCGGCTGGTGGGGGTCCTAAATTACAAAAATGTTAACCCCCCTACCCAAAAAAGTTGAAAATGAAAATGTGGGGGAGGGGACCTATTCTCCCCAGTCCCCACACCTGAGTGGCTGGTGAGGACCCTAAATTAGAATAAGGGGGGGACCTATTGTCCTCCCCCCCCCGAGCTGCAGGTGTGGGCCCTAAATTACAATAAAGGGAGGTGGGACCTATTGTCCTCCCTCCGGCCCCCACCCATGAGCGGCGGGTGGCGGCCCTAAATGAAAATGTTAACCCCCTCCTCACCCAAAAAAAGTTGCGTGGGGGCCATAAATGAAAATGTGGGGGTGGGGACCTATTGTCCTACCCCCCAGCCTCCACCCCTGAGCGGCGAGTGGGCGCCCTAAATTACAATAAAGGGGGTGGACCTATTGTCCTCCCCCTTGCCCCCACCCCTGAGCGGTGGGAGGGGGCCCTAAATAACAATAAGGGGGGTCCTATTGTCCTTACCCCGGCCCCCACCCGTGAGCGGTGGGTGGAGGCCCTAAATTGCAATAATGGGGGGACCTATTGTCCCACCTGAGCGGTGGGTGGGTACCATAAATTACAATAAGAGGTGGGGGGATCTATTGTCCTCCCCCTCCCCGGCCCCCACCCACGAACGGCGGCTGGGGGCCCTAAATTAAAATGTTAACCCCCCTCACCCAAAAAAGTCTCTACATTTACTTGAAATCTTTGCTTGAAATCCAACCAATCACAGTGCTTTGAATAATTTTACACAGTGTGGGGAAGCTCTTTGGAATTTTCCCATGCTGTGCAATTTGACTCATAACTCTCTGATTGATTGAAAGCAACCAATAAGAGCGTTGTTATGAGTCATAACTCTCTGATTGCTTCATTGAAAGAAACCAATCAGAGTGTTGTTACGAGTCAAATTACACAGCACGGGAAAATTCCAAAGAACTTTCCCACGCTGTGTAAAATTACTCAGAGCACTATGATTTCAAGCCAACCAATCAGAGTTCTGTGACAGGTTAATGTAGAGACTTACCTGTCAGTATCTTCATTTACCTGTCAGAGCACTCTGATTGGTTGGCTTAAACCAACCAATCAGAGTGCTCTGAGTCTAATTGCAGGCCATGGGAAAGCATTAAAAGCCTTTTCCCGCCCTGCAGAGCTCAGTCTGTGCCATGCCCCCCATGTGTGAAGATGTTTTTTTATTTTAATTTCAAAGTTCGATGGGTATTATGAATTTTTATTTGCCCTTTTTGGGGCGGAAAAAATTAAATTTTAGAAAAAGAAGACATCCAATGGTATGTTTTATTTATTTTTTACAGGTATTTAGTTCTCTTGTTCCCCACTCGTTATTTTTATGGTAAGGGGGATAGGTAGGGGTTTATTAAAACATTTTTGGGTGGGGGGGTGACTAGGGGCTTGGGGACCCCTGGTCACCTGGGGGGGTTAACATTTTCATTTAGGGCCCCACCCCCCTCTCATGGGTGGAGGCTGGAGGGGGGACAATAGGTCCCCCCTTATTGTTATTTAGGGCCCCCACCTGCCGCTCAGGAGTGGGGGCTTGGGGAGAGGACAATAGGTCCCCCCCTCTTATTGTTATTTAGGGCCTCCACCCGCCGCTCAGTTGTCGGGGCTGGGAGGGAGGACAATAGCCCCCCCGTATTGTAATTTACGGCCCCCACCCGCTGCTCCGGGGTAGGACCCTGGGGGGAGGACAATAGGTCCCCTCCCCCTTTATTGTAATTTAAGGGCCCCCATCCGCCGCTCAGGGGTGGGGGCCGTGGAGGAGGACAATAGGTCCCCCCATTATTGTAATTTAGGGTCCCCACGCGCCGCTCAGGGGTGGGGGGCGGGAGGAGAACAATAGGTTCCCCCCTTTATTGTTATTTAGGGCCTCCACCCGCCGCTCAGGGGTGGGGGCTGGGAGGGAGGACAATAGTCCCCCCTTACTGTTATTTAGGGCTGCCACTCAGGGGTGGGGGCTTGGGGGGAGGACAATAGGTCCCCTCCCCCTTTATTGTAATTTAGGGCCCCCATGCGCTGCTCAGGGGTGGGGCCATGGGGGAAAACAATAGGTCCACACCTTTATTGTAATTTAGGGCCCCCACCCGCCGCTCAGGGGTGGGGGCAGTGGGGGAGGACAATAGGTCCCCCCCTTTATTGTAATTTAGGGCCCCCACCCACCGCTCATGGGTGGGGGCCGAGAGGGGAGGACAATAGGTCCCCTCCCCCTTTATTATAATTTAGGGCCACCACTCGCCGCTCATGGGTGTGGGCCGAGGGGGGAGGACAATAGGTCCCCTCCCCCTTTATTGTAATTTAGGGCCACCACCCGCTGCTTAGGGGTGGGGGCCAGGGGGAGGACAATAGGTCCCCCCCTTTATTATAATTTAGTGCTCCCAACCGCCTCTCATGGGTAGGGGCCGAGGGGGGAGGACAATAGGTCCCCCCTTATTGTTATTTAGGGCCCCCACCCGCCACTCGGGGATGGGAGCTAGGGGGAGAGGACAATAGGTTCCTCCCCTTATTGTTATTTAGGGCCCCCACCCGCTGCTCATTGGTGGGGGCCGGGGAGGACAATAGATCCCCCCATTGTCATTTAGGGCCCCCACCACCGCTCAGGGGTAGGAGCGGGGGGGGGCAATAGGTCCCCCATTCAGTTTAATAGCTCCCACTCGCGCAGCATGGGTAGGGTCTCGGGAGGGGGATACTAGGGGTTTTTTTTGTTTGTTTTTTTAACAGTGAACAGCCACAGGCTGCTCACTGTTTAATAGACATGCCCCTACTCGCGATATAGCGAGTAGGGGCAGATTATTTACTAATACTAAGTAATCTTTACTTAGTATTAGTAAATTTGACTGAAAGACCAATTTAGGTCTTTTAGCCTTTTGGTAGATAGCTTCCTGATACTGTGGGAATTAGGGAGATATCTACTAAGCAGTTGCAAGATGCAGCTGCGGCACGAATAGGATGGGAGTTTCATTCATTCTAATGAAATTCCGATACGAACAGAGTCCCGAGTTGCGTCCTAACACGAATGGAGAAACTGTTCTCAATCAGTTAGGACGCAATTCGGTAGTTTCGCCGGCGTTCTGTCTAAAATGACAGGACGTTCGGGAAAAGTGAAAGGAGGCTTTGCAGGAACACGGAGGAAAGGTGAGAATTGTGGGAAAAATTTCTCTGACCACAGGAAATGGAGCACACTTTGCTCCTCCACTGGTCATAGCTGGTCAGGCGTAGGAAACCTCTATAAGACAAATAGTCCCTACTTTGTCTTATGATTTTAAAGAAAACTAGAGTAGACAGGAAGAAACGAAGAATAGATCCTCACAGGGGGAGAGAAGAGGAATCGATTGGGGAAAGGTAAGTTCGACATGACATTGCCGCTTTAAGAAATTGCAATAATTACCTTTCAGGGTAAAATCTTAAAGGACCACAAAAGTCACCCAGGCCACTATTAACTCAATGAAATGGATTGAATGCAGTGGTCCTTTAGTTAAACTGCAATGTTTACATTCCAAGATTAAATTCACCTATAGGAGCTCCCAACCATCCCGATTTCGATGGGATAGTCCTGGTTTTTTAAACTTGTCCTGCCGTCCTGATTTTGTTTCTTGGTGTCCTACCAAAAAGTGTAACTCAAGTGCATCGTTAGACACGCTTGCACTACACTCAGGGCAACAGGACCCTGCAGAGACCACTGAAAAAGTGCTCTCTGCATGGCCTGCTGTCAGTGAGCCAGCTTGATTGGCATACTTGAAAACCAGAGAAATCTCAATGTATCCACCCTGGTAAAATATTTGATAAATAAATAAGTAATCTAAATGAAGTTGCTATGGTGCCAGGAGGCCTCCAGTACACTCGAACCTCAAGGGGTTTAGCCATTCATGAATGGAAACTTTAACCCCAAAGTTGTCTCCAGAGCAGATCTCCGTTCCCCAAAATTCACTTTCAGGAAGTGCAGAGTGCCCCTGGGTGGGGGAACCACTGTTTGGCTGAGAGCATTCAGGTGACACTCTAAGCCAATCTGTGACTCGCCCATTCACAAAACTGGCTTGGAAAGAAATGTACCTTTCCCAAGACAGTTTTATGTGCTGGGGGGCTTTCTGGCATCATAACAACTTCATTTAGATGAAGTTCCTATGGTGCCTGGAGTGTTCCTTTAAATATGTTTAGTTGCTCAACTAGCATAATTTTCAGCCATCAATAAAAGTGGAGGAAACTGCAGATATAATCATGACAAGAAAACTAAACATTTATTTTCTTTCATAACAAACATTTTTCATTAGTTTTTACCATAGCCATATACAGTATTTGATTTTTTTTTTTGTACCAAAAGGGGGTGCTAGATTACAAAAATGGGCATGTCACATTTGCTATTTTAATATAAGATGCACCAATTTGATGCAATTCAGCATGGTCTGAAATTCATGGGTATAAATCCCATTCCCTACCTATCCATATATCTTATGTATCCAGTGTATCTGTGTGCTGGATGGGTAGGGACTTATGGGCCACGCTGTAGCTTGAGACACTAAAGTAAGAATTCAAGCTAAATTTGAGGGGCCAGAGTAGCTGAAATGAAAGCTTAGCGGAGTCAGACGATTTTCCCACTTTGGCTGTTTTCATCTTATATTTGAAATGCAAGTTGGATTCTCGGTTTAGTGAATAACCCAAACACGTTTAAACTGGTGCAGCAATGGAAGCAGCAGTGAGTGGTTTGCGCTGATTTATAGTCTGATTTTGTGAGATATATAATTATTAAACCCGGTGTTAATGACTATTAGAGCATTAGGGCGCTGGTCTCGGTGAATCCCAGAAACCCACAGCTAACCATCACTACCCGCCCCCTCCCAGACACGTGTTGGGCTGGACCCAGTTTCCGGTTGCCTGACCGGAAGTGGTCTCTCTCCATCTGTTCACACGTTGCGGAGATTTTTTTTTTTTTTTTTTTACTGGATTCTTTCTTTTTAGTTTGGCGCTCGGGGCCCGAGCGGTACGTGACGTCACTTCCGGTGGGCGGTGCTTGCTCGTGACTTTATCTGCTGAGGAGACGGACTGGGCCCGGACCTACAGCTTTGGTGAGAGCGGGAGGAGGAGGCATCGAACGACCGAGCCAGCCAGCCAGCCAGGAGCATCAACGACGACATCAACAACAACGAGATCGCCACAGCCATGGCCGACAGCATGGAGACCGAGTCCAAGTACCTGCCCGAGCTCATGGCAGAGAAGGACAGCCTGGACCCGTCCTTCACACACGCCATGAGCCTCATCAACAGCGGTAAGCACACACAGCATGGCGGCCATGGCGGGGGGGGAGGGGGGCTGCACCGTGACCGCGGGGTACATCGCACGATACCGCCACACAGCCACATAATAATATTAATAATAATAATAATAATATTAATATCTGTGACCGAGAGATGGCGGGGGGCGGGGCGGTAAATAACCCGAAACATGTCGCTGTGGGTGTATAAAGGAGCCGGCATGGCGATATATTATAATATTATTATGATGCAGTTAGTGTCTCTCTCTCTCTCTCTCTCACACTGGGTGCCGGGATGCGGCCAGTGAAGCTGTAATTGTAGTGAATGGGATCCCGGCATTCAGATAATAACCGCCTGCTGACTGCAGAGCATTTAATGGCTTCCCAGATCACATGGAGTTACCCGCATTATTATTATTATTATTATTATTATTATTCATTTTTGCTATTGTTGCCATCCTGGATGCAGTGCATACACCCCCATTCCTGTAAGGATGCCATGCATAGTGTCTGCAGTCTGGGACACGGTTTGTGCAGCCATATATTGGAGCAATCTTCAATCCGATATGGCAAACCAAACCCTGGGGACATGTTTCTTGACATCGTCAAATATACCATGGGAGCAACGTAGTATTTATTTTTTTCCTCTTGGCATTTCCAAGTTTATGTAATAATGAAAATGTATAAATCGTGCAAATTGCAATGGACTGTGTCTAATCTATAATACATAGTCATTTAGCAGCCCGCTAAATGTATTTCTCCTGGGTATCTGACTTGAACTCCTTTACATAGAGTATTAAGCAAAAATAATTTTAGTTGAAATAGTGTTTGTACCATAATGGTCTGCTTGCCCTAAAAAATGGTGTTTTACTTGCTCATGTTATCTGTTTGATGTGATATATAATATAAAAAAAATTAATTTTATTTATATATGGTGTGTGTATATATATATATATTTTTTTTTTTTTATGTTGGACTTGTTTGTTCTAGTGAACCCTTGCATCTCCCTCTCAGCCATTTATTTCTATGTTTTGTAAAACGTGTTGCAAATGAATGGCACATGTTTTTATTCGGTAACCTTTTGTCCGTTTAGTATCTTTGCAAATATGGATTCCTTCTGACGTTTACCAAGGCTTTCCAAACACAAGGCGGCTTTGTTCTGTGTATGAGGCTGATAGATTTTCCACAGCTCTCCGCCCTCTTGCATCTGCTCTTTGTGTGGGGGGTTGGAATTTAGGCCTAGTTCATTCCTAGCTGGTCTCTCTACATGTTATTTCTATCGTGTGTTTGTGTATACATAGAAGGAATTTTGATGGTTTTTGTGGTATTTTTACACTGTCTTCAGGATGTTGGTCCTTCTAATAAGCACAGTCCATTATTTCAAGATTCTGTGTTTAACCTCTTCAAGCCTCAGTCATACACCTAATCTAGCAATAACATTCAGAAGGGCTATTGAGAACTATGGTTACAAGGTCTACATGCACACAGCATTTCAAGAGACTACCTTACCGCTATGACCACTTTACTGATTTGGAGTTCTTATGTGCTGAGTTTCCATATGAAACGGTGCACATACAGAGTGCGGCTTCATCTCCATCTGTGTCAATAAGGTATCAATGACCAGCCTGGAAGTGTTCTTGGTAGCTAATGTGTTTGTGCTCTCTGGTCAGGGGGAATAACATCAGATGCAGTGGTTCCATCTACAGGTAGAGATCTTGGTCTTAAAGGTGTGAGATGAGCTCTTTGACTTTATTTTTTAATGCGGAGAAGGGAAACCAGCAAATCAAAGCATACTCTAACATATACCAGTGATTTATGGAATTTCGTTTTGGGGGGTTGTGAAATAACTGCAAGCCTCAGTCTCTACCACACAAGCAAGTAAAATTCACTTGCAGGGGAGAACATGAGAAATATGGTCAAAAGGCTGCAGCAGCACACCACATTTGAAGAGCTTGCTGTAGTACTTCATGAGTGAGGGGTATCCCAGAATGAGTTTATAAAAGTGACTTTCTATTCTAAGTCGGCACTATTGTAAATAATGCAACAAACACCCATTGGCTATCAAGCAGTCAATTCTAAACATGTTACCACACATAGAGGGTCGTTCATTGATGATCTGCATCTGTCTATGGCATCTCTGCAGTAGCCAGATGTCACTTGCCAAGCACCAGGGGAGACTTGGTGCTCTGCAGGGACCCAGCTAAGAGGGCAAAATGTTGCAAAACGTTTTTCTCATTACTGGGGAACGGTGCAATGCATTAGGATGTAGGGGTGGTAATACTTAAAGCAACACTTCAAAGTGGTTCTCACATTTTACAGAAATTATTTCTGAAAAGGATTTTCTTGGAAAATCCAGCTGATGGGAACAGATGCATAAATTCCTGTGTCGGTCAATAGATGCCTAATGCATCTTAATGTGTGAATGCAATATAATTCTCACAGGAATCAAACACCCAGTTTTGTGTACCCAGGCATGAGTACAGTAGGGATAATGGATACTGGCAGGTGAAGCCATCGGGATTTCACGCATGACAGAATGAGGCATGCTGGAAAAATAACAGTGGACTACTAAGTAGGGATCAACCGATTTTATTGGTTTGGTCGATATTTGGTATTTTCTGCAATATCCGCAAATAGAGATGCCGATAATACATACCAGGACCGCCGGGCCCATGACCAGCTCGGCAGTCCAGGGAAAGCCTGCAGCAAGCGCTAACTTGCTTTCCCTTCAGCACCCCTGTCTAAATCTTGCGAGTCCTGCGGCCGTCAGAGCATTGTCACGGGTTACCGTGGCAATGATCCGCGCGGCACACATGCCGCGAGATTTACACAGGATAGCTGCTGTGAAGGTAAATAAGTGCTTGCTGGGGCCCCTCTGCACAGGACCACCAGGGAATGCTATATCCCCCCTCCCTGGCTATATCCCCCCTCCCTGGCCAAGTAAGAAGCAGAGATAAAAAATGACTCTCCCCCTCCAAATTACATACCTACAGACACAAACACTGGGTTATATAAACACACTATACACTCTGCATTCATTCTATACAACACTGCATTCACTTAACATTCATTATATGCACATACCCTGCATTCGCTATACACTCACTGCACATACGCACACTGCATTCATACTATAAGCACACTGCACAAACACACACTGCATCGACTACATGTGGCATGTATATTTTATGCATTTACTTTTTTAGAAATAGTTTACATTTTTTTTTCCAAAATGATAAATGTACAGAATATCAGTAAGCTATCCGCCTGAAAGTTCAGATTGTTGGTATCGGCTCTTAAAAAAAAAAATCAATATCGGTCGATCCCTACTATTAAGTTTGGGTTTAGTGTGGCTTTTTTTAAGATGCAGGATGTTGCATGTTTAAATGTAGTTTTTGTAGTTCCATAAGCTGTCAAAATAAGTATGCTTAAAATACAGCAGGTTAAGGTTACTGCGTGGGGAGAACCATGGTTACTTATGGCTAATTTTTGTATTTATAACTGGTACATTACAAACTGGGTAATTTACATTTCTTAACACATGGCAAAATTCTATTCTAAAATATTTAATCTGATCCATTAATATCAGAAATGCACTGAGATATATATTCATGGATTTTCTTATTCCCTCTAAAGTAGCTAACTGTACTCCTAGACTTACTGTCAGTAGTATTAAATGACCACTATAGTGCCAGGAAAACAAACTCGTTTTCCTGGCACTGTAGTGTCTTTAGGTTCCCCCCACCCTCATGGCCCCCCTTCCTGCGGGGCTGAAAGGGGTTAAACTTGCCTTTCTCCAGCGCTGGGGAACTCTCCTCCCTCTTCCGACGTCAGCTCTGAATGCGCAAGAGCCGCTGACGCATTCAATTAGGCCATAGGAAAGCATTTCTCAATTCTTTCCTATGGACGTTGGCGTCTTCTCACTGACTTTCACAGTGAGAAGCGCAGAAGAGCCTCTAGCGGCTGTCAGTGAGACAGCCACTAGAAACTGTATTAACCCTAGTGTAAAAATATCAGTTTCTCTGAAACTGTTAACAGCTGCAGGATTAACCCTAGATGGCCTGGCACCCAGACTACTTCATTGAGCTGAAGAGGTCTGGGTGCCTATAGTGGTACTTTAATAATTTGCAAAATAAAATCTGAAAGTCCTTCATGGAGGTAAGTGGTGTGATTTTTATTTTTTATTTTTTTTAATTTAGGTTTGCTCTTACCAATCCTGTCCCATAGTTCCTTCTGCAATACTCCATGGTGGCTGTGCCGGGAAAAGCATGTTCCTATCGGCACAAATGCTAGACCTTTCACTGAGTGGCAGTTGGTTAGCAGTGTACTTAAAATGTTTTATATTCTCTCTGCAGAAATTGAGAGAATGAAAAAAGGAGGTGAACCCAAGAAGGATGAAGATGACACTTACATGGATTTGTTCTCGCACAAAAATATGAAACTTAAAGAACGCGTTCTAATACCTGTCAAATTATACCCAAAGGTGAGGCTTAGTATCATGTGAGATACATGTATCCTGCTAAGAAATCTAGTGAATACATTTCTTTCAAATTTGTTTTTTCTTCCTTAAATTAAACTACTAGTTTAAGATATGCAGTGTTTTCTCCTGCACAGAGTTGCTGATGGTTTGCCTTATTGTGACTTAATTGCCACTTTTGAAGCAGATGCTTCAAAATCTTAATTTGCTTTTTTTTATTTTTTTTTATTTTTTAACATTTGGATTTAATGTTACATTTCTTGTCCTTTTAGTTTAACTTTGTTGGAAAGATCCTGGGTCCACAGGGTAACACCATTAAGAGGCTTCAGGAGGAGACTGGAGCCAAAATTTCTGTACTGGGAAAAGGGTCAATGAGAGACAAGGCAAAGGTATGTATTTGGTTCTTTTCAGTAGTAAATTTAAAATTATTTTTTTTGCAGTCAATAGGAAAAGAAAGTTTGTTGCAAAATGTTTTACATGCTGCAGTCCCTGGGCACCATATTACCTAAAGGTGTCAACATATTAAACTGTTTAATACCAAAAATGCCCTCTGAGTGTCAGTCTGTATTTATTCCTTTTCACCACCTTCCAATGCTTCTCTTCTTTGCTCAGTACAACAGCAGAGCAGAAATGGGGAAAAAGTCAATGTACATGGAGAACATCTTTGGCGTTAAACTGTGTACAAATCAAGGAACTATAGGAAATTCTATCCTTGTGAGGGAAAGGTCCCTTATAGAAACACTCCTCAGAGGAGACAGAAAAATCACTGTTTAGTAGATGTATGTCCATTTTCATTGAGGGCCTCCCCACACTTATTTTCTTAGTGCGAACATTCTTTACTGGTAGAAAGATCAATCATATGCATCTCATTGATAAGCCTCTGATTCAGAGATGTCAGTATGTGCATGCTGCAGGGAGGCAGCCAGAAATGATGCATGAGCCAAGAAAATTTGCAGCCAAGTAAAACAGCTCTCTGCACTTTCTCTGACACATGGGAGAAAGTCCACCAATAGAGACTGCCTGCTACTCCTGCATGGTCAGAATAGGCACTGAAATAGGAAAGTGTCATGCACGCTTTAACATGATAGATAGATATATATATATATAATTTTTTTATTTTTATTTTGGGAGACCATATAAGAGATTTCCATAACTTCTAATAAAGTTCGACTTGTGCTGTCAGTTTGTCCATAATATAGTTATCTTTTATCTTGTGTATCATTTTATCCCAGGAGGGGTTAATCTTGTAACCAATTTTGGGCAAGAGCGCTTCTAGTGTAATCCTGCCTTATTTCTTTTCATGTAAAGTAAGTTTAAAAAAATAAAAATCTATCTGGGTGTCACCTATGGGAAAAATTAAGATGTTAATTGCAGATTTCATCAGAGAAGAGTGCCCCTCTAGTACCCCATATGAGGATATGTGCATTATTATAGTGCCAGGAGGCCACCAGTGCACTTACCTCAAGGGGTTAATCCATTCTCGAACAGTCTAACCCTAAAGTTGCCTCCACTGTTGATCTCCACTCCCCTTGGCAGCGGCGCCACTGACTGGCTATGAGTGGTCAACTGATGCTCTCAGTCAGCAAGAGCCCTTGTCCAGCGGCACTCCGCGCTTCCTGAGCGTTATAATTTCAGAATCCAGTTGCTGTTTGGGGAACCTGAGTCTTGGCACTGGAGGCTCAGTTTGGGGTTTAACCATTTGGGGTAAGAGTCTATCCAGTGGTCTCCTGGCACCCTAACTTTATTTAGATGTTATGGTGCCTAGACTGTCCAATAAGACTCAGTTAGTGTCTTATGATGATATTTGACATTTGTTACTTAAGGTTTTAATTTATAACCTGTTAAACTGGAACTTTTTAAACTGAAATTAACTAATGCTGGAAATTTGATTCTTACTGTATTGTTGTACATAGAAATTGGGCCTTGTGTTTTCTTTTGTGGGATTTTTACATGTTTTGTTTTTTCCTTAAAAATTTGAGGAGGAAGAACTTCGCAAAGGAGGTGACCCTAAGTATGCCCATCTCAATATGGACCTTCATGTGTTTATTGAAGTCTTTGGCCCACCTTGTGAAGCATACACCCGTATGGCACATGCTTTGGAAGAGGTTAAAAAATTCCTTGTTCCGGTATGTATAAGGGGGTAGGGGGTCTAGCTTTTTATTACAAAAAAGCAGTGCCCTGCTCTCATTTTTCCAGTCAGTGCAAGCCTTTATTTCTCTAGTTCTTGAATGTACATATTAATATAAAATTGAAATGTTCATAGTTTATAAACCTCCATGTTTGTACCCAGCTGTTGAATGGAAGTTTTATTACACATTCTGGTTAACCTATGATTTTATTTCCTGATATAAACAGACTTGAGCCCCCACAGCATTATATACATGTACTGTTGACTCCTTGTGTATTTGGGAGACTGTGATTGCATATTGGCATGTTATTTTGAATCATTCTAACTATCCTTGTCATATTCAGCAACTAGATCTTTGTATAATTTGTGACCCGAACATTGTTATTAGTCTTTTATCTCGGTCACTGGAGCTTTTCTAATTTTATGCAAAGATCCCTATTGTGGGCCATGAATTCTAAATCTGAATGGGACAAGACCGTTATGCACTGTTTAACAGTACATAAACCCTAGTGATTGCCCTCTCTATTTTCTGACCCTACCTTTCATCCATGAGCTGAGTTTTTTCTTACTTTGCAGGACATGATGGATGATATCTGTCAGGAGCAATTTTTAGAACTTTCCTATCTTAATGGAGCTCCCCCAGAGCAAGCCCGTGGTGGAGGAAGAGGTGGACCAGCTAGGGGTAGAGGAGGACCACCACCCCCACCTTCTGCTGCTCCTCCATCAAGGTAATAAATTACACTTAAGTTAATTTCTTGGGTGGTGGGGTTTACATGTTAAATGAGACAAGTACACACAGAGCACGATATTGACATATTGGAAGGTTACTCTTATTACTGCTATAACTCTTAACTTTAATTGTTTTTACTTTGTGCAATATTGGCCCACTAGGGCATGTGCTCTGAGCCAGGCAGGGAATGTGAGGTGGACATGGGTAGTTTAAAATAAAACCCACTCCCCCTCTTTTAAGCACATATTCCTTATAGGACCACTATAGTGCCAGGAAAACAATCTCGTTTTCCTGGCACTCTAGGGTCATTAGGTCCCACCTTCAGCTAATTGCCTTTTTCCAGCGCCGGCTCCCTCGGAGCTGGGGAACTCTCCGACGTCTGCTCCGAATGCGTTTTGTGCGGCAAGAGCCGCACGCTTTCAAACTGCCCATAGGAAAGCATTGCTCAATGCTTTCCTGTGGACATCCAGCGACTCGCGGAAGCGCCTCTAGTGTAAACATAGTAATTTCTCTGAAACTGCTATGTTTTCAGCTGCAGGATTAAAACTAGAGGGACCTGGCATCCAGAACACTTCATTGAGTTGTGGCTGTAGCTGTGGGGGACTAATAGTAAGTAAGTAAGTAACACTCTTGTGTGTGTATAAAATACTATAGGTACCAAAACAACTTTCCATTATCTGCCACTCCAAATAGGAGTTTTAAATAACTTTGTTTATGCAGCCATAGTTACACCACCCTGCATGTGACTTGTACAGCCTTCCTAAACACTTCCTGGAAAGAGATCTACTGTTTACCATTTCTAAACTAAACAGAATGTGTAATAAATAAATGTTAGTTCTCAACACATGTCTGTTAATGGCTTTCTAAACACTACAGGAAGCACTTATGTGTTTTTAAAGTTCAATTTATAGAGCAGAAGATAAAAACTTCTAAATCAAGTTAACCTATGATTGAAAATGAAACCATTGGAGGTGTGACTAGGGCTGCATGGACCGAAACTAAGTGATCGGTAAGACTGCAGGGGCATGACCCATACACCAAACTTGCTTCATTTAGCAAGCTATAAAGGTGTTAATGCCTAAAGTATCCCTATAATTACTTGGGTGGAGGCATATCTACATAGCCCCATCCATCACTCATGTTAACAATACTTGTTTGTATTCCTAACATTTTCATCATTCTGTTCAAAGAAAATGTGGAACGATCAGAAAGCTGTAATCTGTAGTCTTTCAAACTGTCTGGACTGCGAGACCGTGGTCTTGTTCAAGAGTCTTCAAGGGTAACTTTTGACCAGTTTCTAATTTTTTTTTATCTTCAGGGGAAGGGCTGGACCCCTACGTTCTCTTGTTCCAAGAGGTGCTCCTGGAAGAGGTGCAATAACACGTGGTGCCAGTGCCAGTCGCAGTGTGGCTCCTGCTCCTGCAAGTAGAGGCACACCTGCTGGAAGGGCACGTGGTGGCTCCATCCAGAGGATCTCTTTGCCACCTCCAGCACCAGAGTCTTATGACGAATATGTAAGTAATTGCTTCTGAACATACTTTATTTCACTTACTGTTTCAGCTTAAACTAGGGTTAAGAATACAGTGTTTTTGTGTGTTATCATGGGAAAGCGGTTTGTCTTGGCTTTCTAATGAAAGTTGCACATTTGTCTGTAAATAAACATATTCATATAGTTGTGTTGGCAGTGTTTTCAAACGCTTATGTAAGTGAGATACTTTATGCAGATTAAACTCTCCTACAGTTTGTAAAGTACTGCGCCTCTTGGGAGTAATGCATGGAATCTGAGGTATGTTTGTTTGTGCTGGCCAACCCATGAAACTCTATCCAAGACTTATATTTTAAAGACTGCTTATTTTTTTTTTTTTTTACTTTTTAAACATCTTGACTGTTGTAAAACTCTCCCAAAGTGCAGAAATGAATTATTCGAGACTTGTTTATCAAGTCCAATATGCTTGTTCATTTAATTTTTTTATTTTTTTTTAGGGTTATGAAGATTCATACGCAGACCAAAACTATGAAGGGTATGAAGGATATTACAATCAAAACCAAAGGTAAGAAATCTTTTGGGGGCAATCAAACTAAGATATTTCCAATGTGCAGGCTTGTAGGAATGCTAGAAAAAGACTTGTAGTTGTGATGTATTTGTAAGTTAGTTTGGTAAGCAGTTTTGCAAATGATTGGTACATAGTTATGATATAAAGATGGTGTTAAGAATGGGGAAAATCCCAAATGTATATTAAGGAAAAGCTAAATTTATGGACATGTCTTTGGTTGGCTGGCAAAGAGGCTGGATTGAATGAAAGTTCATGGCAATGGATTTATGTTGTAATTGTGTTACCTGCTGACTGGAATTTAAAGTTTGGTATGAAGCCACCATAGTGGTAAGTTTGCAGACCCTAAAATTACTATTCAATCACTTGTTTAAAAGCAGGTAAAGTGACTCTTGAGGGGTAGGCACGAAAGGATTACGAAGGGGTGAAGGGGAAAGTTCAGGTTTGTGAGAGATTGGTGACTTGTTCAAATAGAACTCAATGAACAGATTGTGAGTGTGGAGAACTATTTACTCTAGCAGCCCTTAATGTATCAAATTGTGGCTTTTGTGGAGAAGAGCTGAGTGACCATTTGTGGTCAGTTTGACTTCAGTGTGGTTTCTTTCTTTATTGTGGTTTCTTGTGCTTGTGAAGCTGATGGTAAAGGAGGGATTTTAAATATTGAGAGCCTATCCGATTCTCTCAGGTTAAGAACTTGTAGTCAAGGCAACCTAGATTCACTTCCTGCATATATAGCAGATATGGTTTTTAGCACCTCCAAAGTCTGGAGAAACTAGAGGAAGGAAAGCCTAGTGAAGGTTAATGGTACAGTGACTTGGATTATTTAAACTTGCTGTTAAAGCAATGTAAGTTGCTGATGCATGTTTCCTTGTATAGGTTTTGCCTTTAAATGGTGAACAAAGATCATGTCAGGCCAAAGCATGATTTAAGCCTTTACAAAACTTTGTTTTGTTTTTTTCAGTGATACAGAATATTATGATTATGGCCATGGCGAGGGGCCAGAATCATATGAAGGTTACGGTAAGTCAGGGCGTTTGATTTCTGAAACCACTTTAAATTCTTAGTTGTGTAACTTCCAGTATCGTAACCCTCTATTCATATTCCTTTATGCAGGGCAGTTGTTTTGCACCCTAAAGTAAGGAGTTGCCATTTAAAGCAGGTGACTTGTAGTTCCTTTGTTTGGCAACCTATGTGCACTTGCTGCCTCAGTCCATGGTATTTAGTAATGAACAAAAGGGAAGCCCCTAAAAAATAAAACTTAGAGTTGCCTATTGACACTTATTGTTTGCTATTTAAAGGTCTTCTGGGAGAGTGGGCCTCAGAGTAGACTTTTTCACACAGGTTGCCAATATTTGTTGCTTTTACATGGTGTTCTTTAAAAGGCACAAATAGCAGCTATTGCAAGAATTGAGTTAAATGCCTCAAGTCTCTAATCCTCAGCGATGAAATTGAGTGTTATCTAGAGACCAAGTTATTGGAAGGAAAGTGTGTTGGTGTATAACCCTTATTAAAAGGGTAGGTTCAGTACTATAAGAATGATGAGAAAAGCTTTGTATAGCACATGTCTCACTGATGGGCCTCAAGGATACCAGCAAACCAACAGAAAGCAACTTCTGAAAGGGCAAGAAGGGAGGAGTGGTGGGCTTTGGCTGTGCAGAATTACAGAGAAACAACCAGAATGCCATATTGCAGCAGCTATGGACAGGCAATCTGAGAATGAACAGATATGTATGTTACACAGTCATCATAGTTGGGGACCTTTAACCTGTTAACAAAACAAGTGTGTGCTTCCCAAACAGTGGCATGCAGGAGAGATGTTACTTACAACTAGTGTTACCCTCTGGAAGCATGATTGATGCTCTCAGCAAGACACGGTGCTAATGGAAATAAGTTTAATTATGAGCCTTTGATAAAATAAAGACACTAAACACTTGATTGTATAAAATGAGTCAAGCCAGATGGAAAATTACAAAACAAATATCTGTCAATCAAGACATGTTCCCTTTAAATGCATTGCAATGTAACTGTATCTGCAGCAGATTAATAGAACAGTTTCCCGTGCTACCCTCATAATGTCTAATGGACTGATACATGGAAAAAAATAGTGGCCACCAGATCTAACGAAGCTAGACTGAAAGGGGGAGTAAAAGGAAGTGGATGAGATGGTAGAATTTTTTTTTATTTAATTTTTTTGCCCATGAATGTATCCCTAAAAGTTAACTCAAATGTATAGCATGCATTAAAAAAAGTCCCACTTAATAAAGAGGATTCCATATGGTGTTCTGATGCCCTCTTATTCAGCAAGGTATATTGGCATTTGTTAAAGAAACATTTGAAGCACCATAACCACTACAACCGCTGTAGTTCTGGAGTGTCCTGGTGTGATCGACTTGCCGTGATGACCACTATCATGCAGTGAGCATTGCTGGGCTTGGATCAGTGGCAGAGCCTCGAGCTGTAGAGGTGGTGATGGTGGGTGCCTGGCAGACACCACGTAAGTTGACAAACTATTCTTAAACAGTTTGACTACTTACTCTGAAAGGCCGCAATCGTACTCCTAGTAACATAACCACTACATGGGGTTGTAGTGGTCATCGTACTTCCTTTAATCATATTTTAAAGTGCTAGCCAAGCAATTGGTTTATGAATCAGTGGCAATCAGAATTTCATCAAGCAACATAGGTTTTATGTCTACGATTTTGCAGTTGATCTTCCTCGGCTAACGCTTGTGTGTTTTCTTTCCCTAGGCCAAGATAATTGGAATGGCTCACGACCCTCTTTAAAGGTGCCGCCTTCTCACCCTGCAAAAGGTGGCACTTACAGAGATCATCCCTACAGGCGCTTCTGAGTCTGGACACATCCAACCCATTAATACTGATCTCTTGTGTCCCGGGACTTCCTGTTCCTTAGCCCATACACAAGTAAATTCTGTGCTCTGATCCCTTCCATCTCCTCAAACCTTCCCTCCTGAAATCCTTCTCATAGGACTGCTTTTAAATCAGACATCCAAACTCTTTTTGTGGAGATACTTAGACCATTTTTTTAAATTTTATTTTTTTATTTTATTTTCATTGTTTAAACAAAGTTAAAACTCCAAAATGCTTTTCATGTAAAAAGTTGTTAAAATGTAGTATTCATAGTGACTGCTCCAAACTGAAGTTTCTTACAAAATATTAAATGTTAGCTGTAGTTTCACTGTTCTGCGCTAAGCTGCATTTAAAAAAACAAAAACAAAACAAAACCATTTTTCTTTGAGCTGGTTAGTGTAATTAGCTGTAATATTGTATGCTGTTTAAAACAAACTTTTGACTTTGTAATCTTTTATGTTATTAAATCATATGGATGGATCTTTGCTAATGTTGTCTTAATTCGTAAATTCTCAAATAGGAAGGTAAAATACAGTTCAAATAAAACTAATTTGGGTTGTGAGTTCTAGTTCCAGGCATAGTATGGTATTGGGTGGGATTTCAAACATGAACAGCTACTCATTATTTTAAGTAGTAGGTTCTTGATTGATAAAGTTCTTTTGGACAGTGTCTTAAATTTGCATAATAATTGAACTGAACAGTATTTACATATGGAGATCTAATAATTGATCTCCAATTGTTTAAAGAGCTTGATTCTGACATCCGCTCTATCATTCTTTTGGGTTATATGAAACGTTTTAATCAAAATAGTTAACTTTATTGGTTCTAACAAAAAATGCTGCCCTTGTGTGTAGGATAACTACCCCATTATGTATTGTTGTAAGGAGTATTACTGCCTGCCTAAATAGGTAACTTTATTTCTCCATCTGTACTGACATTTGTCAACTTTTTTTTCAGTTTGTTTTTAATAAAAATATAAACTCTGCTTTGTAACTTTTTTCTTCTCTTAAATTACAAACTTTGTGCAACATTGGAGAGCAAAAACCTTCCCTTCACCATTTTAAACTTTCTTTCTAGGTATTCACTCTTTTACATACTGCCCACAAAACCAGAAGTAATGAGACCTAAAAATTAGCATTTCCTCAACAATTTAATCTATAAAATGTGCTACAATAATTGCTTCTAAATTTGCATTGTTACAATATTAAAAAAATTTTTATTTGGATTTTAGATGTGATGGGCTTTTTGTAATTTTTTTTTTTTTTCAAAACTTCAAGCTGCCCACCAAATAGTATATATTTTTTTTTTTTTTTGTCCAATACTTTTATAGAAATTTGATTCTAAATTATATGCGTTAACAAATGGTGAAACTTTTATTTACGCTAAGGGAGGTTTTTGTTTGGATACCACTACCTGTCATTTATTAGACTGAAGGAAGGGACTTTTGAGTCCCTTTTTAAGATGTCTTAGTGCAAGCATATGAAGAGTGGTTATATGGTGTAATTCTGGTTACTAAAGGTGACCCAAAAAAAAAAAACCAAATAAAAGTAATAAAAAAAAGCAAGGACAAAATAAACTTGTTATTTGTAGTCTTAACGGGATAAAGGCCGGAGATTTCCCACTGGGCTGTGGACATCGTACAAATGCCAAGGTTCCCAAACCTTTATAAAGAAAAGAAAAATCCTGCAAGACACTCAGGATGTTAATCATGCATCGCAAACAAGGTAACAGCATTCCCTAATACTGCTCTCCGCACGCTAATGTGTCCTCCGCAGTCTAACCACCCATGATCGTTCCTTCAGTATTGGCATCATGGGCTCCAGAGCTCCTGCCTGCTGGTTTGTGGTAACAATCTGGTTAAACTGCGCAGGCCGTGAATGTTAAAACTATAATATCCCATTATAAACTGGCAGCAGATTTATGTAATATCTTCAAACTTTACCAAAAACAGCTTTAAAAAGCCATTCTGTCTAAAATAGTTATAACATTGTATCTTTAATGTAACTACTTAAAAAGTTTTCCAAGTTGCCTATAATGTTAATAGCTTTAATTGTACAACTATAATATCTGCTCAGTTCTTTAAAACTGGAAAAAATATTCTCCCCAAACCCTATCCTCTGCCAAACTGTCTTGATGCATTTCCCTCATTGTTCTTTTCAAACTTTAAATTTCTGGGTTATTGGGTTGGGGTCAAAGTTACAGAACTGACATTTCATTCTTATTTTGCAGGTGATGTATGGAGATAAGATCAATGTTTGACAGGTGGGTTTTAGCACTTTGTAAAACTGTTCTTAGAGCCATGGATTGCATGCCTTTTTATTGTTTTAATACTTTGCTTCGTAATCTAGTCCAGTGCAACCCTCCTAAAGATGTTACTGTCGTAATTCCCCTTGAAATATTTCTCTGCAAATTACATCTTTCCTTTGCATTTCTCCAATTTATCCAATGACCCCAGTACGACCAGAAATTGCGATCTTACACTAGGGTTCATGTGTCTCAACCTTTGTTCTAATCCATATATTTAACTGTCTTTTAGATTTCTCCACTTTTTAAAATATGGTTACAGCTAGGAGAGTGGTACAGTCCATACTAACGTACAATTTTCCTCATTGTTACCGGGTGCATCTATAGAATAGCTATTATAAAAATGCATTGAGATGTGTCCTATGGTTCTCACTTTATGTTTAGTGGTATTCATCCAAGAGCAGTGATAAGAGATGCTGCCAGTGGTTAACTGAGCCTTGACAAGATCACGTCCAATTAATAACTGGCCTCCATTACATAGAGCAAAGGAGCAGTGATGGGCTGTTTTTGACACACTAGGTGGAGATTCCATCAAGAGATGGAATAAGAGGGAGCGAAAAAACTGAAGATGACAGACCCATAGACGACATTACGCAAAAGAACCACTAGACACAGCTGTGGTCACTTAATATAGCGGTCCCTCTGTGTGAGAAAGATTTAGTAGACTCGCAAATGATTTCACTCTACACAAATGTAAACTTTACAGAACTTGCCCTGTTTTCTTTTAATAGAAACTGGCACTGCTATTTTGGTCACAAGATCCATTTGTCATTTTTCACATGGTAATTTTTTTCATCTTCAAAGTGATACAAAAAATACTTTTTCACTGTCTGGTCCTTACCTCAGAATGTTTGAGTAAAACTGCATTCCCTTGAGGACACGTGTTCCAGATGGTGCACCTTTTATTGGTGAATACTGGATTTTAAGGGGAAACAAATGAAAACTGCTGTTAAAGGGACACTATAGTCACCCAGACCACTTCAGCTCAATGATGTTTACATAGCAGGGTTAATCCAACCTCTAGAGGCGCATCTGCAAAGCTGGATGCGAAATTTACATTCAGCGTGCCGAACGTCCATAGGAAAGCATTGAGAAATGCCTTCCTGTAGAATGTTTGAATGTGCGCGGCACTCGCCGCGGATGCACACGGCGGGCTGACGTCGGTGGGGGAGGAGAGGTCACCGGTGCTGGATTAAGGTAAACTGCTAAACTGGTTTTAACCCCTTCAGCGCCAAGGGAGGGGGACCCTGATGGTGGGGGCACTCTTAGGGCACTATAGTGTCAGGGAAAACAGGTTTGTTTCCCTGACACTATAGTGATCCTTTAAACTACAATTTGCAGCACGCTTATTTTTCAATTAGTGTGGGGAAAGTGTTCCATTGGGTTTATTCCAGCTTTTAGAGCTGGAAATTGTGATCGTAATACACAGGGATGGAAATAAGTTATGTAGACCATGTCATCGACATCTAGGCAAAATGCACCCGTTCTGCTGGAGGAAGTCACGCACCCAGTCTGACTTCCTCCACTTCAAATTCTTGTTGCCTTCATACAGCCTTTGCCAAACATCATACTTTTCCTCCATTAGCTCATTCTCCCGCAATCCCAGGTGTCTTTCTTTTTTTTTTTTTAAATACCTTTAACTCTCTTCTTTGCCCAGCTGTGGCCACCCCCCCAAACTAACCTTACAGCTGATAGCTTTGCATGCTACTTTACCGACAAGATTGAACAGCTAAGGAAATAATTCTCACCACCTTGCCCCTCTCTTCTCAACCACACCTAGGTCATGCCTTTCCTATCCTTCAGACTTTCTTCTAGGCTACTGAACAAGAAGTGGTTGCGCTTCTCCTTTCCCCTCGACCCACCACTTGCCTGCTTGATCCTGTCCCGTCTCACCTTATCAGATCTCTCTCCCCTTGTCTTGTGCCTTCCTTAACACACATCTTAAACTGCGCTCTCTCTCTTCTGGTGTTGACCCATGCTGCCCTTAAACATGCTACTGTACTACCCATCTTTAAAAAAAAAAAATTGACCCATCCTCCCCTTCTAACTATCCATGCTCCCTTTTTCCTCAAAGCTTCTGGAAAGACTGGTCTACCTGTCTGACTTTCCTCAATTCCAACTCTCTCCTTGACCCTCTTCAGTCTGGCTTACACCCCCTCCACTCTACTGAGACTGCTCTTATTAGTCACTACCCAATCGCAGCTGAATCCAAAGGGCACTAGTCTATACTAATTCTTCTTGACCTCTCTGCTTCCTTTGACACTGTTGACCATGTTCTCCTTCTCCAAACTCTTCAATCACTCAATCTCTAACACTGTCCTCTCTTGGTTTTCCTCCTATCTCTCCCAACGCTCATTCAGTGTTTCCTTTTCTAATTATACCTCCTCCCTTCGTCCTGTCTCTGTCCCACCAGGCTCTGTACTTGGTCCCCTTCTATTTTCTCTTTATACTGCCTCTCTTTTCAAACTTATTAACTCATTTGAATTCCCATACCACCTGTACGCTGATGACACTCAGATACACCCCTCCCTTGTCAGCCTGCAACATGTCACTGCTTGCCTTTCTTCCATCTGATTGGATGTCCTCTCGCTTTTTGAAACTTAATCTCTCTAACTGAACTCCTTGTCTTTCCTCTTTCGCTCTCCCTTCAAGTGAGTGTTACCTACATCAATCCATCCTTGCATGCTCGCTGTCTTGGCATCATACTTCATTCTAGCCTCACATTTGAGCCTTGCATCCAGTCTGTTACCAAATCCTGTAGATTCCACCTTAAAAACTGCATCCGCCTCTTTCTTAAGCAAGATGCTGCTAAGGAGCTTGTCCATGCTCTAGTAATCTCTTGCATGGATTATTGTAACTCTCTCCCACAAGTCTTATTGCCCCACTACAGTCTGTATTGAATGCTGCAGCTAGACTTATTTTCCTCTCCTGTTGCTCCTCACACCTCCCCTGTATCCTATGAGTCAGTTCAAGGTACTAATCGACATCTACAAAGCACTGACCAATTCTAGCCCCTCATATCTCTTCACTGATCGCTAGTATGCCCATTCTTGGTCTCTCCGCTTTTGCCCATGACCTTCTCCTGTCCGTTGCTCTCACCCGCACGGCCAACTCACGCTTGCAGGACTTCTCGCAGGTGGCTCCTTTCCTTTGGAATAGCCTGCCCACGACCAAGCTTTTCCCTAGTCTTCAATCATTTAAAAAGTGCCTCAAAATGCATCTCTTTAGGAAAGCTTATGGACTCCCAGAGTAACCTCTACCTCACTTAGCGCTGTCCCTTGTTCTGTCATAAAGGGCAGCACTCTTCTCTCTCCAGTTCTGCTTCACTCCACCTTGTTTGACTGCTACCTCCTGTCCTGTTGGGTTTTACACCCCACCTCCTATAAATAGAAAGCTTGTTTGAACAGGGCATCCTTCAACCTATTCCTGTAAAGTTTTTGTAATTGTCTCCTTTATTGTTAATCTCCCCCTTGATAATATTGTAAAGTGCTACGAAATAGGCTGGTGCTATATTTTTTTCTTCCTTCAAACGTCTGAAACACTCTTCACTAAACCATTCCATGATGCTTCGTAACAAATCCCATATACTAGTCTCTATCTTGCTATTCTGAGCATACCCTGCTCCATGTATTTCCTGCTCCTTTCCTGTTAAACACATTATGATATATTCCCCATTGCTTTCCTACAGTTTCCATACGTCCTTTGACAATTATACATGAATTCTACCTTTTCAAAAGGTGCTTGTTTACCCTGGCAAAACATACAAGAAACATGATCACATTGCAAGCCCACTACGTACTTCCAAATTTGTCTTTCTTTCATACATTGCCCTGCCTGCTCACTCCAAAAATACTTCTATTCACATGTATGTGTGAGACTCAGCCACAGAGACCAGTGAGTGAAACTACAAAGCAACCTGTCTTTAAGTAGGAAAACCTGTAGTAAAGAGATCACTAGCTGTTTGTAGTTTTTCTGCAGCTCACTCACTGCTGTTATGGTGTGAGCTCGCCATACATTTCATAAGAAAGCGAAGGCTTGTGGCCAAGGAGGCAGGCTTATGGTTCCTGTAGTGTCCCCTTTTAAGATGTAGGCCTGGTAGAATCAATAATACCTAGAAATCCTGTGAATATATCTTTCCTAGACATAATTTTCTCAGTAATAGTGGTAGGATACAAATGGCTAACAAGTTACGAAGGAGCAAAAGGTTCATATTTTAACCCATGTCTGCATTCATCATAAAGTGATCTCTATAACCTTTTTGTTCTAGCATGGAATGCCATGCTTATTTGCGACTGTTTAAGTATAAATTTGGATTCTTAATTTTTGGTGTAGATTATTCCATTGTAGTAATTTAACTGAAATGTTACAAAACTAGACAAAGCACAGAATCCATGCAGCCATTGCTTTCTAAGCATGCACATCTGATCCATAATTCTTTTTTTTTCCCCAAGTTTACTTGGCTTATATTTACAGAAGATACTTTGTCAGCCCATTATTCATATATATATATATATATATATATATATATATATATATATATATATATATATATATATATATATATATATATATATATATATATCTATCTATCTATCTTTTGCATGCTAATTAATACTGAAAATTTGTGACCTTGTTTCTTCTTTAGCTTTTGAAGCACAAATGAAGGTAGAGCTGCTCCTTTACTCTGACCGCATCTAATAAAACGTAAGTTTTCATCAGAAGTGTAGATTAAGAAGAAAACACATCTAATTACATACAAACTTAATGTTTTGTTTTATTTATTTATTTTTTTTTTTTACTTCCAGTGTGGAGATGGATTTGTGGAGTGGACATGTTAATCTGCCATCTTGAAAGTACTGTCAAGAGGAAATGTGATCTCTTCAATAGCCCTTTAACAAAATTGTGGTGCCTTGTAACAAGTTGGTCATTTGGCAGATATCTAACTTGGTACGGTTGCCTGAAGATTTAAAAAAAAAAAAATATTCTTGGTTAACTGTAGTCAATATGGTTAGATCTAAAAAAAAAAACCCAACCTTTTGAGCATTTTGCCAAATACTATACGTACTTTTTTCTCTAAAGTAAACCTTCCCGTAATTTTGAGTACTGGGGTGATTTGGTTACTTTGTTAAAATTGTCATTGTTGAAATCACAGTATATTCTCTACACATTAACCTAAATCTTAATGTATTGCCTCTATTTGTATAGTCTCATTAAAATGTTTGGTTTTTCCATACCTCTTTGTTTGAATCTGTTTTCGTCTGAATTTGATTTTGTATTCTATGCTGTGACACTTTCAGGTGATTTTTATAAATGAACTTTAACATTAAACTTAACAGCACTATTACCATATGAGATCGATGTGTATATAAATTGGGTAAATCCTATTAAGGAAAGAAATGGCGCATCATAGTGCAAAACTGTGTTCACAATATTTAGAAGACAAATGGCCACTCACAATTATAGGATGTTAATTATGCCTTCAGTATATATGCCAATGCAGATCTGTTGAAGATCCTGGGAGATTGGTCTCTCCAAGTAATGAAAGGAAACAGTAAAGTATCCAGTTAAGAAAACCCAAATAGAATGCACAAAAATGTATTTAATGACTCGCATAAAAGTTGACAGGTATTGGCATAAGTGGTCCTACGCATTTCATCCTGTATATATTGATCTATTGTGAAGATTGTTGAGGAAACCTTTGGGTTTAATATCCTAAAGGGAAGTGTTTATTTTGTATAAATTATCACACTAATTGCACTTAGAGCACTTTATTGAGTTGTGAAAGTCACTATTGTATTATACTATTACCATATGAGACTGTAAATGGAATATAAAGTAAGCTACAGTATAACCCAACACAAACTTCCCAGTGGTGTACATGGTTTAATATGCAGGGAAGAGGATATATGGGTATAGATAAAGAAGTGCATTCAGACATGTATAGGAGTGAAACATAAGTGAATCCAGATATGGAAATTGCAATTGTCTATTGACATTTGTTGGTTAGCATTGAAAAACAACAGAAGACTTTGTATAGCATGTCTACCCTGCAAAAGTTACAAATATTGAACTAAAGTACAGAAATAAATACTACAAACATGTCTTCAATTGAGGAAACCAATTGTGGTTGTCCAATGAAAGGTAACATCTAGCCCCAGAGAGGAAATGTCACTACTCATAAACTATTTTTTTTTTTTTTATGAGCTTTAGTGGCGGTTCCTGTAGGATGTTCTACTCTCTGGATGAGTAAGTTTAGAAATGTATGTAAATACATTAAGGCATACACTCTTCATACCTTAAATATTACTCTGGCACCAGTTCTTACTTGTCCTGCTTGTGGGACAGATGGATTCCCTGTTTTTGTTGGTTTGGGACATGATTGAGCTGCAGGGCACCTGATTTTTTTTTTTATTTTTTTTTTTATGGCAGGCAAACTTGAGCTGAATTCAGGCCAAAGGTAGGCAGGTAGGTGTGCCAATTAGAGTCTGTGCATGGTGGTGGTACACTTGTCCAGGCCATGTTTTTGTTACATTTGGGGTTCCAAAAGCCCTGCTTTGAATGTCCAATAGGAACTGTTTTTGGAGCAAAATTTTAAAACCTGCTACCCTTTTTTAAAGCTGTGCAAACCTGATTGGCAGCAAGGGTGCTGGTCAGTACACTGATATCGTATCGCCATAGTTTCCCTTTAATGTGATTTTGTTGACTAGAACATGTCCCTGCAGGTGTATTTTTCTTTTTCTTTTTTTTTTTTTTTTTACATACATATACTTCAAGAACCTCCCCAATTAACCTTTGGCTTTAAATTGCTTCCTACCCAAGACATCTCAGTTTTTTGCCTGCCTCCGGCAGAGGAGGGTGTCAGGTTTTTTCCCTAGAAGTATGGTGAGAGGGCTGAGGCTCTGGAGGCTCTACTTTTAAATAAACTTTTCAGAGATCGGCCAGGGATAACACACCAGATGGCGGTATCTCCCCGGGTTGAATTGCTTCTGTCTATACCAGGCCAGGTGCCGGGCAGACGATGGTGCGCATTTGGGCACTAGCTGGGAAGTCCTGGCGGTGGAACACTCGTACAGGTTACGTTGATTTCCACTGTGAAATCGCGTAATGCGATTTGAAATTCAGGTGCCAATATCATGAATTTTTTTTTTTTTTTTTTCGGGGTCAAGATGTTGGTTTCCAGGACTTAGTTGCTGCTGGGTAAACAGCCTCTCTAACTGTTGCCAGGTGCACTCAGAATCTGTTGCAAGTGTGTTCTCACCAACCTCCAACACACTCTGAGGACATTAAGGGTAAGCCTTTTTGCTTTTCTTACATGACTAGCACAGGGGTAGGCAACCTACGGCACTCAAGGCTGCAAAGGCCAAACAGGCTCTGGCCTATCAGAAGTCCCAGTAAAACTTCAGATATCTGCTAATACGAAGAGGTGGTGAAGGACAATCCTCAATTTATACATTGCAGCATGTAGAGAAACTGATCTCCGATCACTTGATTCCAGCATTTGTGAATGGGAATCTACACTGTAGTAGAGCAGCCTGCAGCTGCTGTTGCAGCTCCTGTACCTGGCCAGCCTGGTCCCCACTGGAACTCCGGGAAGCCAACCACACTGCTAGATATACACAGAGCTGCAGAATAACCCTCCCCTCATACAAATAATGCTAACAGCCCATACACACAATCCATACAAACGTAACCGCTAACAATCCACATACATGCAATACCCCAAACAGCCCCTCACATACACACTACCAAACACACAATGTGACATTTCCATTCACACAAAATTCCACAAATAGCCCTCATACACAGCCCACATTCATATGTATAATACACGATACCATAAACTAATAATAGTTACATAGTTACATAGCTGAAAAGAGACTTGCGTCCATCAAGTTCAGCCTTCCTCACATTTGTTTTTTGCTGTTGATCCAAAAGAAGGCAAAAAAACCCAGTTTGAAGCACAATTTTGCAACAAGCTAGGAAAAAAATTCCTTCTTGACCCCAGAATGGCAGTCACATTTATCCTTGGATCAAGCAGTTATTACCTACATTGAAAGATTATATCCTTGAATATTCTGTTCTTGCAAGTATACATCTAGTAGCCGTTTGAACATCTGTATGGACTCTGATAAAACCACTTCCTCAGGCAGAGAATTCCACATCCTGATTGTTCTTACAGTAAAAAAACCTTTCCTTTGCCTTAGGCAAAATCTTCTTTCTTCCAGTCTAAACGCATGGCCTCGTGTCCTATGTAAAGTCCGGTTTGTGAATAGATTTCCACACAATGGTTTGTATTGGCCCCGAATATATTTGTATAATGTTATCATATGCCCTCTCAGGCGACGTTTTTCTAAACTAGTTTAAATTTGTTAACCTTTCTTCATAGCTGATATGTTCCATTCCTTTTATTAATTTTGTAGCCCGCCTCTGCACTTTTTCTAGTGCCATAATATCCTTCTTTAGAACAGGTGCCCAAAATTGCACAGCATATTCAATATGTGGTCTTACCAGTGATTTATAAAGAGGCAAAATGATATTCTCGTCTCGAGAATGAATGCCCTTTTTCATGCATGACAATACCTTACTGGCCTTGGCCACTGCTGATTGACATTGCACATTGTTGCATAGTTTGTTGTCTATAACAATTCCCAAGTCCTTTTAGTGTGTTGTTATCCCTAATTCGCTTCCATTAAGGGTATACGTTGCTTGTGTATTCTTTACGCCAAAGTGCATAACTTTGCATTTTTCAACATTAAATTTCATCTGCCATTTGAGTGCCCAGTCCCCCAGTCTATCTAAATCCCTCTGCAACAAAGTAATATCTTGCTCACATTGTATTATTTTACAAAGTTTTGTGTCATCTGCAAACACTGAAACATGACTTTCAATGCTGTCTTCAAGATCATTTATAAACATGTTAAATAGAAGGGGTCCCAGAACAGACCCCTGAGGGACACCACTTACCACCTCTGTCCAGCTTGAAAATTTACCATTAATGACAACTCTTTGTACTCTGTTTTTAAGCCAATGTTCTACCCAAGAACAAGCATTTTCATCTAGACCGATTTCCTTGAGTTTGAACACTAATCTATTGTGTGGAACTGCATCAAATGCCTTGGCAAAATCCAAAAAGATCACATCCACGGCAACACCCTGATCTATACTTCTACTTACTTCTTCGTAGAACGCAATCAAGTTAGTTTGACATGACCTGTGCTTCATAAAACCATGCTGATTTTGCTGATAACCATGTTCTTCTCAAGGAATTCTTGAATATTATCCCTTAATAAACTTTCAAATATTTTACCAGCCACAGAAGTTAAGCTCACAGGTCTATAATTTCCAGGCAATGATTTTGAACCCTTTTTGAATATAGGAACCACATCTGCCTTCCTCCAATCCTCCGGAACACTTCCTGAAAGAAAAGAATCTTGAAAGATTAAAAACAGAGGTTCACTTATTTCTGCACTTAGTTCCTTAAGTACATGGATACCGTCAGGCCCTGGAGCTTTGTTTATATTAACTTTCTTTAGTTGCTGCAGCACCTTGTCTTGAGTTAACCAATTACAATTATTCTGCAAGTTTTTGGTAGCAATCATTTGCACATCTATTGCCATGGGTTCTTCCTTAATATATACGGAGGAGAAAAAGTTATTTAAAATTCCTGCCTTTTCCTGGTCTTCATTAACTAACACCCCCGTTTCAGTTTTTAGTGTACCTACACTTTCATTTTGGGGTTTTTTAGAATTGATGTACTTAAAAAATGCTTTGAGGTTGGTTTTGCTCTCTTCAGCTATCATTATTTCATTTTGAAGTTTAGCAAGTCTAATTGCCTTTTTGCACGCATTATTTGCATCCTTATATCTTTTATAAGATGCATCTGATTTGTCCGATTTAAATGCTTTAAATGGCCTTCTCTTAGTTGTAATCTCTTGTTTTACTTCTCTACTAAGCCACATTGGTTTTAATTTGTTTCTTTTATATTTATTTCCCAATGGTACATACTGAGAAATGTACCTTTCTAATATTTGTTGGAAGATGATCCATTTATCCTCAGTGTTCTTTTCACTAAAGAGTTTATACCAGTCAATATATTGTAAAGCTTCCCTTAACTTATTGAAATTGGCCTTTTTAAAATTATATGTTTTAGTATTCCCCATGTGCTTTTGTTTTTTTGAGTTTATTTCAAAGGACATTATATTGTGATCACTATTTCCCAAGTGCTCACCTACTTGAATGTTGGTCAAAAGATCAGCGTTGTTTGTTAAAACCAGGTCCATACAAGCGTCCATTCTAGTTGGTGCTTGTACAAGTTGTGACATGAAGGTGTCATTTAACA